GGTCACCAATACGCTTTGGTTTGCCATATCATAAATAATACTAAAATTATAACTTTCCTTGAGTAAATTTTTTGAAAATTTAATATTTTAGGATTTTATTGCACTTTCGTGACAAATTTTAGCACTTCCCGTGCACTTATTGTGCACTTCTTGTCACGAAAGTGCATCTAATGCTCTTATCCCTTAAATAAAAAAAGACTCGAGTAAATAACACGAAGATTTATCACTTGATTAGATCAATTTGACAAGTTTTAGGACTTGATTACATTTTTTTTACAATTTTAGGATTTGATTGCACTTTCGTAACAAGCAAACTCTGCCATTGGAGTGACAGCTTCCCGGCGAGCTGATATCCGCAAATCCATGGAACAAAATGAAACCCAGGTTGAAGAGTTCTGTCAAACTTTCCAAACCTCTTCGTAAAACCTACCGTGTATTCCTCAACCTGGACACAACAACACACGTTACCCATCTTATATGTATAGGAGTGGATCCTAAAGAAAGCATGCAATTGTTAGTTTAACGCAAACCAGTTTCTTCAAATTGTCTGTAAAATAAAAGCCATATGGGTGTGCCACAGCCACAGGTACTTTCAGTTTCATCCGACCACCAAAAACCTGGTGACATTTTACACATCTAATCTAATCTAATCTAACCCAAAATTCGATCAGCAAGCAATACCGAAAGACACACCCATAGAGCAAACCATATTTGCCATATCATAAAGAATACTAAAACTATAAACTTCCTTGAGTAAATGTTTGGAAGATTTAATGTTTTAGGATTTGATTGCGCTTTCGTGACAAATTTTAGGACTTCCCGTGCACTTATAGTGCACTTCTTGTCACAAAAGTGCATTTAATGCTCTTATCCCTTAAATTTTGCATGGTCACCATTACGCATTGGTTTGCCATATCATAAATAATACTAAAATTATAACTTTCAGTGAGTAAATTTTTGGAAGATTTAATGTTTTAGGATTTGATTGCACTTTCGTGACAAATTTTAGGACTTCCCGTGCACTTATAGTGCACTTCTTGTCACGAAAGTGCATCTAATGCTCTTATCCCTTAAATTATGCGTGGTCACCATTACGCTTTGGTTTACCATATCATAAATAGTACTAAAATTATAACTTTCCTTGAGTAAATTTTTGGAAAATTTAATGTTTTAGGATTTGATTGCACTTTCGTGATAAATTTTAGGACTTCTCGTGCACTTATTGTGCACTTCTTGTCACGAAAGTGCATCTAATGCTCTTATCCCTTAAATAAAAAAAGACTTGAGTAAATAACATGAAGATTTATCACTGGATTAGATCAATTTGACAAGTTTTAGGACTTGATTACATTTTTTTTTTACAATTTTAGGATTTGATTGCACTTTCGTAACAAGCAAACTCTGCCATTGGAGTGACAGCTTCCTGGCGAGCTGATATCCGCAAATCCATGGAACAAAATGAAACCCAGGTTGAAGAGTTGTGTCTAACTTTCCAAACCTCTTCGTTAAACCTACCGTGTGTTCCTAAACCTGGACACAACAACACACGTTACCCATCATATATGAATAGAAGTGGATCGTGCAGAAAGCATGCAATTGTTAGTTTAAAGCAAACCATTTTCTTCAAACTTTCAGTAAAATAAAAGCCATATGGATGTGTCACAGCCACAGGTACTTTCAGTTTCATCCAACCACCAAAAACCTGGTGACATTTTACACATCTAATCTAAATTAATCTAACCCAAAATTCGATCAACAATCAATACCGAAAGACACACCCCTAGAGCAGACCATATTTGCCATATCATAAATAATACTACAACTATAAATTACCTTGAGTAAATTTTTGGAAGATTTAATGTTTTAGGATTTGATTGCACTTTCGTGATAAATTTTAGGACTTCCCGTGCACTTATAGTGCACTTGTCACGAAAGTGCATCTAATGCTCTTATCTCTTAAATTTTGCATGGTCACCAATACGGTTTGGTTTGCCATATCATAAATAATACTAAATTATAACTTTCCTAGAGTAAATTTTTGGAAAATTTAATGTTTTAGGCTTTGATTGCACTTTCGTGATAAATTTTAGGACTTCCCGTGCACTTATTGTGCACTTCTTGTCACGAAAGTGCATCTAATGCTCTTATCCCTTAAATTTTGCATGGTCACCATTACGCTTTGGTTTGCCATAACATAAATAATACTAAAACTATAAATTACCTTGAGTAAATTTTTGGAAGATTCAATATTTTAGGATTTGATTGCACTTTCGTGACAAATTTTAGGACTTCTCGTGCACTTATAGTGCACTTGTCTCGAAAGTGCATCTAATCCTCTTATCTCTTAAATTTTGCATGGTCACCAATACGGTTTGGTTTGCCATATCATAAATAATACTAAATTATAACTTTCCTTGATTAAATTTTTGGAAAATTTAATATTTTAGGATTTGATTGCACTTTCGTGACAAATTTTAGGACTTCCCGTGCACTTATTGTGCACTTCTTGTTACGAAAGTGCATCTAATGCTCTTATCCGTTAAATAAAAAAAGACTTGAGTAAATAACACGAAGATTTATCACTTGATTAGATCAATTTGACAAGTTTTAGGACTTGATTACATTTTTTTTACAATTTTAGGATTTGATTGCACTTTCGTAACAAGCAAACTCTGCCATTGGAGTGACAGCTTCCCGGCGAGCTGATATCCTCAAATCCATGGAATAAAATGAAACCCAGGTTGAAGAGTTCTGTCAAACTTTCCAAACCTCTTCGTTAAACCTACCGTGTGTTCCTCAACCTGGACACAATAATACACGTTACCCATCTTATATGTATAGAAGTGGATCCTGCAGAAAGCATGCAATTGTTAGTTTAACGCAAACCATTTTCTTCAAACTTTCAGTAAAATAAAAGCCATATGGGTGTGTCACAGCCATAGGTACTTTCAGTTTCATCCAACCACCAAAAACCTGGTGACATTTTACACATCTAATCTCATCTAATCTAACCCAAAATTCGACCAGCAATCAATACCGAAAGACACACCCCTAGAGCAGACCATATTTGCCATATCATAAATAATACTAAAACTATAAATTTCCTTGAGTAAATTTTTGGAAAGATTTAACGTTTTAGGATTTGATTGCACTGTCGTGACAAATTTTAGGACTTCCCGTGCACTTATAGTGCACTTGTCACGAAAGTGCATCTAATGCTCTGATCCCATAAATTTTGCATGGTCACCAATACGGTTTGGTTTGCCATATCATAAATAATACTAAATTATAACTTTCCTTAAGTAAATTTTTGGAAAATTTAATGTTTTAGAATTTGATTGCACTTTCGTGACAAATTTTAGATCTTCCCGTGCACTTATAGTGCACTTCTTGTCACGAAAGTGCATCTAATGCTCTTATCCCTTAAATTTTGCATGGTCACCATTACGCTTTGGTTTGCCATATCATAAATAATACTAAAATTATAACTTTCCTTGAGTAAATTTGTAGAAAATTTAATGTTTTAGGATTTGATTGCACTTTCGTGACAAATTTCATGACTTCCCGTGCACTTATAGTGCACTTCTTGTCACGAAAGTGCATCTAATGCTCTTATCCCTTAATTAAAAAATTGAAATATGTCAAGTTAGAAGATGAAGTAAATGGTTAATTATATCAACGTTGACCATCATATCATTAGTTTATTGATGTTCAACAATGAGCAAGGCTGATGCCTTAACATGACTATTTAACAACCTCTTATTTATGTGGCATCAATTCGATTCTCAGTAGTTTTGGAAGTAAACTCACAACCGTTGGTAATACCGTCAGCCAGCTTACAAACGGTTTCAACATGCTCAGCATAAAAATGTGGTTTTGACTTCTTGATCAGATGCTTTTACCGTGTCTGCAGAAAAACTACCCACCCCTAATGTCCAAAATCTCTTTCGACTTGAAAGACCGAGCTACGCACTGCACTCGAACATACTAGGTGTCCCACAAATAGCACAAAGTGACGGGGGCTGGCTTTGGACATCCAGCTGAAATGTAGTGTTGCGATTGTGAGGTTTTCAAGTTGCAGAAATGAATGATGGATGCAACATCATTGCCTTTTAGAGCAAAACTGTCGAATTGTACTTGTTACGACCAAATAATGTAAGCACAGAGTATAGACCGTGACATCATACGAGCATAACAATCCACTGAATCACACATTCTATTGCTAAAGGAACAAAAGGATTTTATTAGATTTAGAACATCTTTAATCAAGTCAACTGGTAAAGACATAGATTTTAGGTCATGCCTTTCTAGGAAGAGAAGCTTCTCTGCGGGCTGACGCAGAAAGTTACAGAGAATGGTTAACTAGATGAGCAATCTAGGAAGAGAGGATAGGCTGGACCATTGGATTGCTAACCGAAATAGTTCCTGTACAATGTTTTGGCAATTTCAAGGGCATCTCCTTTTGCCTCCACTGCGTAAATTTGTGTTTCTGATAGCCAGTAGTTTGAGTATGATATCCGCTCTTTTCTCCACTCCTCAACTCGAATTTCTCATTCTCTCTCAAACTTTTGGTTAAATAAGAAAAGAAGCTTGACGCTCGGGACAGGTAATGGTCTTCCAGGAGACCACTCCAGAACTTGTCTGCTGATCAAAGATAGGAGACCCTCTTATCAAGTAACAAAGGCACACAAATCCGAAAGTGTGTATAAACACAAGCATGCGAGCATATGTAAACACGCATACAGATATACAGACAGGAGCAGGTACAAGATGTACCATAATCATGATGCTTGCTCTGAACTGTTTGATTGTTATCATACCACATAGTGACTAGAAACTAGAAAGTAAAAGCACTTTAAGAAAGTAAAAGCACTCAATATGGAGGAGGTTAAAACGGTGTGGTGTGGGAGTACAGTCGTGGCATAGAAAATAGTAACAGGCATAGAAAATACAACTACAAACTAGAGTCATAAATGTAACTGTCAAATTGTCACTACTACTTAGCACTGGGACATGGACGCTTCAAGAAGACCATCGTGTATCTTCGCGGTCACCTCTCGCATGGCTCCAGGACCTTGCGGAATGAACAGCATCGAGGATTTTGACTTTCCGCCTCTATCTGACATGGAGTCAATATACTGGGACATGAGGGCCAGGTCGAAGTAGTCCTTGCCGGTCACCCCTGATATTTTGCCCGAGATGTCCCATGCAACATCCACGATGGCTTGACTGTGGCGAGCAACAGAGAGTTTCTTGTACTCAGCCTCCCCTTCAACCTTCCTCATCGCTGCAACCCACAAAAACAAAGCTTTGAGTTTAGCTTTTAAGCACCAAACAAAGTCGAATTTCCAGCATTATACAAATCCTTTTTTCGTACTTCATAAACATGAGATTTACTCTCATAAGTTGTCTAGATGGCCACAGACCTTATCTACAATGAAATATGCAGCTTTTAAATTTAAACTTTTGACATATGGCCTGTCATGTAATCATTAACCATTTAAAAATTTTACCATGATGAACAATTATCTAGAATCAATTGGCAATTGTAATTTCAAGGTTACCATTCTTGGCTTCAATCACGGCTCGCTCAAGTCCCTCATCCAATTTTACATCCCAGATTTGGACTTGCAGAATCTCATATCCATTGAGACCAACAGGCTGCAAAATTTAGAGAACTCCAGTTCAGTTTATCTCTCATAATAACATCAAGAAGTCTAGAGTGGACAACCTTTTCCATTTCTTTCATAATAGCTTGGGCAATTGCATCTCTCTGCCCAGAAACTTCGTCCATGTTTTGCACCGCAACCATAGCTCCGATCACTGGAATGATTGAAACAACAAAATCAGGCATGCAATAGTCGTTGCTTACCCTAAGTGTTAATTGAAGGACTAAAGTATGTTACTTTCGCATGTAAATTGTACAAATTTGTTCCAATACTATATTTATACTGATGTGATGAAATTTATTTGGCACATACCCTTGAGCACATATATCCTTGGATCTGACGTCTTCGATTACTCTGCATGTAAAAGGCCTCATATCGTTTTTCTGGATGGACTCGGTATTGCACATATGCAACATTGACAAAATCATCGTCCTGTGAGAAAAATATCACGTGAGGTCGTTACTTATTCAAGCATTTACATGTTAATTGGTAACAAGTGACAGGCTGTCATCTCACAGAACTGAAACGAGAAAAGGAAATTGATAAATTCATCAACATTTAACTCTAAATTCACCAATTATTTGAAATACATCAATAGATTCGCACTAATACTTCTCGACCAACCCACGAAAGCTAGTTTAATTGTGAAAATGTAGTTCTCATAGCGGTTTGAAAACAAAACATTCAAGGAGCAATGTGCTGATTCAAACAGTTTTTGTTTCCCACTAAGATGATCACCGGTGCATTTGTGTACTATATAGCAAAATCATCTAGAATGAAATCTGAATGTTGATGGAAGTTTGCACAAAGACAAAAGATTGAACAAACCTTGGTTTTTGTTCTGCATTTCACAAGCAAACTTGCCATTGGAATGACAGCTTCTCGGTGAGCTGATATCCGCAAATCTATGGAACAAAATGACACCTAGGTTGAAGAGTTCTGTCAAACCTTACTCACCTCTTCGTAAAACCTACCATTTGTTCCTCAACTTGGACACAACAATACACGTTACCCATCTTATATGTATATAAGTGGATCCTGCAGAAAGCATGCAATTGTTAGTTTAACGCAAACAATTTTCTTCAAACTTTCAGTAAAATAAAAGCCATATGGGTATGTCACAGCCACAGGTCCTTTCAGTTTCATCCAACCACCAAAAACCTGGTGACGTTTTACACATCTGATCTAATCTAACCCAAAATTCGATCAGCAATCAATGCCTACCTGATAAGTAACATTGCCATTTCTTTTATTCTCATGTAATCAGCAACTGAACCCCTAGAGCAGACCATGTTTGTCTTTTCAGTTGTTAAAAAAACAACTGAAAAGACAAACATGGTCTGCTTACCAAAAGAGGAAGGAGGCCTCGGCATTCGGAAGCTTGAGGACCACAATAGAGCTGCAATGCTCAAGCACATATGGCTCCTATTCATCGATAAGGAGTCCTTATGGTGCCAATGGATTCACTCCAACTTTCTCAAGAAGAAAAATTTCTGGGTAGCAACCAAACCGACATTCTGTTCTTGGAGCTGGACAAAAATCCTTGAACTTCGTTCGGACTTCCAGTTAAACTTCCTGTGGAAGATAGGCGACGGGGCCTCTGTATCATTCTGGTTTGATAACTGGCATCCCAGGGGTCCTCTCTATAAATTTTTTTCCGATAGAGATATATACTATTCAGGCATCCCGAGAAATGCATCGGTTCGGGATTTTTCCTCTTCAGTCTGGCAACACTCTAACTTTCTGGCCAGTTTCAACTCTTGGTCAGATAGAATACCAGCTCTTGATGCCGAAAGACCTGACCGCATATCTTGGAAAGGCCACTCTTCCGGTCAGTTTTCAACTTCTTCGGCGTGGGATCTCATAAGAAACAAAGGCACGAATGTTCCATGGAGTTCCTTCATATGGGATCGAGCCATTGCGCCAAGGTACAGCTTCTTGCTATGGCTCATATCTCTGAATAGACTACCTACGCAAGTCATTTTGCTAACCTATCACAGAATTCCCGAAAGTGTATGTGCCTTCTGTAGAAGCAGACCCAATTCTATTGACCATCTCGTTTTTGGATGTGCCGTTACCGGGTCCCTTGCTGCTTTCTGGGCAAATAACTGCAACCTTATGTGGCGTAATAGATCTTGGCAAGAAAACCTCCATTGGGCTGTCCGTATCATTGGGGGGCAGAACTTCCATAAAAAAATTGCTCGTTTTGCACTTGGCGCAATGTGCCATATAATTTGGTCGGTGAGAAACAACATCCTATTCAGGGACCATTCCCTCTTAATGCCAGCTCTCCGCAATCACCTCACCAAATTGGTAAGGGACAAAGGCTTTTCCATGAAGCCTGTTGTAGATAATGACCACAACAGAAGAATTCAGCAAAAATGGGGCATCTCCTCTTCCATTTTTGATTAATCCTCTGATTACTGTGTCTGTAGTCTGTTGGGCCATGATTCGGTTGGCCTTTTCTGTGGGATTACTTTGTATGTAGTCTGTTGGCCCCCGCTTCGGTTGGCCTTTTCTGTGGCTTTTCTGTTGCTTGTAGCCCTTGTTTGAGTCGTTACACCTTTGCACCTGTCGGGACACTTGTTGTGCCGCCTCAAGTGTGAGGTTTTTGTGTACGACTAGTTTCCTTGTATGTTTCACTGTGAAAAGTATATATACTATCTTACTTTACCAAAAAAAAAAAAACAATGTGATCATGTACCTTTTTGCTATTTTGACAGAGTGCTGCAGAGTTGGAGCGGCGAAGAGAAAAGTTTACAAAGGAGCTGGATTTTGTTTTCGCTGATGTGGTATGGTAGTCTCTCTTGAATATTATGTGGTTATCATCTTATAATATATGAACTGTTGTTTCTAGATAACCCCATGCTTTGTTTCAATATACACTTGTCATGTTGCAAAGATTGAGTGAGTCGGATGGCATTGGTTTGATGAAAAATTTAGCTTAGCCGCTAAGTAATGGGAAAAGCGTCTGGTCCACAATGGAAAATTTGGTGTCACACCTAACTCATTTTGGTCTTCATTTAATCAAATTGCTAGATACACTTCTTAATCTCTCATTCTGGGCATCCTAATAATCCTCGTTCTATTGAGCGACAGGTGATGGCCATTATAGCAGATTTTATGCTGGTCTGGCTTCCTGCTCCCACCGTTTCTCTCCGACCCCCCCTCGCTGTCAATGCTGGAGCACTTTCTACGTTCTTCTATGGCTGTCCTGATAATGCTTTTCAGGTCATTAACTTTGACATTAGATATAGTTCTTTGAACTACGATGGACGGTGTATAACAATTCATTTACTTTGACAATCTACACGCAGGTCACTCTGGCTGGTAGCTCTTACTCATTGTTGCAGAGAATAGGTGCAATTCTGGTATGTGTGTGCACTTAGTTCAATTTGACAAAATGGTTTCACTACAGATCAGGGCTTATAATGGTTTGTTCTGTAGTACAGCGTAATGGGGCCAAGCTTTTCGTAGTCAGGACTGGTGCATCTTTGGTATGATACTTTGAATCAGCAGTGCTTCAAATTTTGGCAGCTATCATTGCATCAGAGTCTCCTCTGTTTATGTCGTTCTCTTATATGTATAGTTAATGCTTGTTCTGAGTCGTTTATGGTTGTTACGAGCCCCTCACTCACTTAAGGGATAGAAGAATGTTTTCCTGAGATTTTTCTCCATATTTCATTATAGTTGCTTGCCATAGCAATAACAAGGCCCTGGCCGGAAGTTTACATGAACAGAACCTCTTAGAAGGTCGAACCTTTTGGTTTGGGTCCTTCAGACTTTAGATCGAAGGAATTTCTTAGTAATATTTGTGGGCTTCCTCTGGGTGTTGAACTCAAGGAAGAAATGCTGTTGAAGCTTGTTACTCTTAATTTCCCTGTATATGCTAAATAGAAACAGTATTTTGGATGTAACATTGTAACTGTCTTCTTGGGCACAATCCTGAAAATTTTTCTTCAGATTGGTACAGGTTTGACAAATGTGTTGATAAATACAAGAAAGCTTTTCGATAAAACCTTTGCGGTTGAGGCAGAGGATGTGCCTGTCCTCTCCACCAGTGTTGCATACGGAGTATACATGGCAGTTTCTAGCAATTTAAGGTTTGTGGCTGCGTGTTACCCGCTTTTCATAGCCTATTCTTATATCTGAATAGTTGTTTTGGAAATTTACAGTTTGCAAGGGACTGGTGTAGACGCAGATAGTTTTCTAATCTGGTCTGCATGCACTCTAACTTTACCAATTAGCTAGAAGGATAGTCTTATTTTAGAGAACACTTGTGTCATTCACTCTCCTTTTTTATTATTGTATCTGTGTGTGCGCGCCCGTGTATATATCTCATAAGATAATCTGCTATTTATTTTGGTGAACAGATATCAGGTCCTGGCTGGAGTTATAGAACAGAGAATCCTAGAGCCCTTGCTACACCAGCACAAGATCATACTCAGTGCGTTATGCTTTGCTGTTCGAACTGGCAATACATTCTTGGGTTCATTGATGTAAGACTTTTCGCGCCGTCTGTCATTTCAATAACACAAATTTCTCTAATGCTCTAAGAAGCACAACATGTTTGTTCTCTCTCTTGTAACAGGTGGGTGGATTATGCGCGATGGATAGGAATTCAAAAGATTCGAGAATAATACATTGTTAGACATTCAGCTTCCATTTCACCAGCAAATTGTAATTCTGGAATGTGCATATGTAAGATTACCTGTGCAAGAATAAACCTATCAGTGTATGACGCATTCATGAGAAGAAAAAATATATTGGGATGTGGTTTTATTTGTGCTCCGGTTGCTTTTTGTTTATAATACAAGTGACTACACAAAGTGTTAATAGTTCTGCTATTGAACCAGAATCTGATGTATCATTTATTTTTTGGCTAAAGTCGGCAAGCTATGTTTCAGGAAGTCATGCAAGGGAATGGAGTTAGTTCTATATGAAGACATGAATTTGTAACATGTTTAAATTAGGTCTCCATGGCTGGCCCAAAAAAAAGGTCATGACGGGAAGTCATATGATTATGTAACCGGTATGGATACACATAGTGCCTATATGTTTCTTCATGTACTTTTCACCATTTAGATATACCGATAGCTAACATATACATATACTCCACTGGTTTTACACAATACCAGTGTTAATTTCTTTCTCTTTAGAATTTTAGTGAGCTAGCAGATCATATCAAGTTCTACTTCAACACATGCAGAATCGAACGCAATTCTGTACCCAATTTTCCTTATCCTCGTTTCATATTATTATTACTTTGCACTATGAGTGGACATTATGAAGTTATAACTAGATATGAGATTATACCATCGTGATTTGCACGACTAAGAAGTATCTTCATTCATCTCAACAATTGCCTTGCTGTCATGATTTCAGTTGACATTCTCGGGATGTCTCAGTGCACAATTGTAGTACTTCCCCAGAGCCCAAAAAGGAAAGTTGTTCCTGTAAGTAGCATGCGTTATCATACAGTTCCTGTTAAAAACTCCCGCAAACTCCGGCAAGAAAACAACTAATTATGACCAGAGGACATGGTTCAATCAATACTCATGAGCATGGCATGATAAGTTCTATGGCACTTACAGACACACATATGAATCCTTGTTATTTACTAACAGTTGGTAAGTGTGAAGATGATTCAAGTCAATTATGTGACACTCAAACGTTAGCGCCCAAGAGTCTTATCAAATATATTTGGCGAGTAATATAGGCAGGTTATAGCACTGCATGCGTCTGCTGCACCTCCAGTATTCAACATTCATGTTGTGGGAAATCACCATTTTCCATCTGCGCGTTGATCAAATCTTTTGCTGCACGATGCAAAGGGGTAGGATCTCTCACAGCCTAATCAATCATTCGGGATCATGAGAAGAGAATTACTAGCGTCTATGCATCTCAAGGACAAGCTCACGTCTATGTACCTGTCCAAATTCAATAAGAGCCAACATAGCCCAACGAGTATTCATCAAGTGCTCTCTGTTTCCTTCAAAGTTTGTATATCTCTGTTACCAGATGGAAACACAAATACCGTAAAAAAATTAGTTGGAGAGCACCTTATCATCTACATTACAAAGTTCTTCGTAGACAGTCTTATGGCAATTATTAGGTGTAGTTGGCATGTCGTCAAATTTCAAAATTGAAATACATTACAATCTGCATTCCAATTCAAGATGTCTTCACGGACTGAACGTAAAGACCTTGGATAAAGAAAGGAGAAAGTTTCAAATTTGATCTCTTGTAAGGTAACTCTCTCCCCAACCACCAGAATCGAGTTGTTTGGACAGTAGGAAATGACATGCTCTTGCGATGCTCTCGCTACTCTGATATGTTCTACCTCCAGCAACCAATCCATTTATCCCAAACCATGTTCCATAGGTGTAACAGACTCCCCATATAAGGAAATGACTCCAGACAGACCCTAGATAATATAATTTGCCCACAGATTGAAGGTGAATTAAACTTTCAAAATCAATAGATGACAACGTGGGACATTTTATTATCCAAATTTGGCCTTTGCTAAGATTATTATGACTAAAAAAAGTGATAACCATCTTGAGGGAGGAAACTGACCAAGAACCATCAGGTAGCTGTATCCTTTCAATGTATTTGTTGCGGAAGCCAAGCGATCGAACAATAAAATTGACAGAATAAGAAAATAAATCGGACACCAGATTTACGTGGTTCGATCGTAGTGACCTACATCCACGGGGAGAGCAGCACGGAATTCCACTATAAATCAAGCGATACAACGGAGATTACAACCACACTCGAGTCACTCAAACACTCTTAAGTGTTTCCCAAGCCCCAATTACACCTAATAACTCACGCAGTATTTAGCCCCATTATTCCTCACGAAATAATCTCTCAATCTCACGAAGGAATCATACACAAATCTTAATACAAGATTTAGGCTTGAACACTAATTCTTCTTGGATGTAATTCACGAACGAAAATCCACGAAAACACCCACCGCCAAGCACTCACGAATGCGGCGCTTCCTTCTTCGTGCACAATAGCTTCCGGTTCACTTGCACGGCACACCAAGCACTCGCATTAGGCGCTTCAAGACTTCTTCGCTGAAAGCATCCCCTGACCATGAACATATATATCAGGAAGTCCCATGTTGGTCAACAAAAGAAGTCCACGCGGATTAGGATCAGGAAACAAATCCAGCCATGCTTTTCTTTTCTTTTTATTTTATTTCTTCTTTCCACTTCTGGCCGTGAATTCCACAAGAATTAGGAAAGTATAATATTCTTTCTTTCTTCTAAAACATTGACCGAGTCAAAGTTCAACATAAAGTCCATGTGGACTTTCCAGTTTGAGAACAAGGACTCCAACGTGCATTAGGAAAGTGAATTTCAAATATTTTCTTTTTGCTCGGTTTCGGAGATCCGTAAAATATCCAATTCGAAATATTTAGATTTCGCTTTGGGCTCAAACTCGAGACATATTTTCAACAGTATTGAATAGCGTCTGAGATGCATGCCTATATCTTTCTTCAGTGGCCTGGATATCACTTAATGAACGCCTTAAACTGCAGAAGTGTACTCCACATACCTAAATAGAAGAAATTTGCTAGTCAAACAACAAGAAGACATCTAATAAGAATGATTCTACGCTACAATGATGATAGAAAATCTTATTGGTGTGGCCAGAAAAAGATTTACCAGGTAAAGCATGCATTTTTCCTGTTCACCTGGAGTAATATATTTTTCTTCATCGTCAAATAAGTAATTTCTCCATGTAAAATTCATAAAACTTAAAAAAATTTGCGTCATGATATTACAAATAATCGATAATGATATCTCCAAATGTTTCTGATGGTTTGATCATCTGCATGACAAAAAAGGTACATGTACTTTAAAACATGTCGGATTCTCTCCAGGTTCAAACCAGATGGAAGAGAATTAGAAATCATACCTCTAACCGTGAATATGATCTTGTTTGCTCATATGTTTCAAATCCTCCGTTTTGGTTCTGCCACATCAGTATCAAGTTTTTACAGCATACTGCGTAAAAACTCATCCAAATATAACTTTTACAAGTTCTCTCATTATCATCACATTACTTTCTAATAATACGAATTAAGAATACCAACTTTTTGTGATCAAGGACCAAAATACATCATTAGTGTTGGCTTCTCGTCAACTTTAACATAAAGAGTTGAAAGAGGATCAACTTTCAAGAATTTTCCGTAAAGAAGGTGGATAACTGGCTGATGTTAATTTATAGTACCTGAAGGGATAAGATCACGTTACAGCATCATATAGTTGATCAACTGCTATCGCACTTCCAAGGATGCTTGGCTTCATTTCTGATAATAATAATGCCGCCTGCAAGCAAAAGAATTACCCCCTATACTCTGTATTAAATAAGTCCTTTTCCTCAATTCTTTTCATGCAATTCAAAAACCAAGGTGAACATGATTTACTTCCTCCATAAATTTCTCTGACGAGAAAAGTCAATTTTAAGCCAGCTCACCATGCTAAATTACTAGAACATATTTTCAGAACTGATATAGCCATGTAAGTGTGCTACAGTCGCATATTACTAGATGAGCTTTGCTTGAATCATTACACGAAGCATTAAGAATATTAGTTTAAATGCTTCAGCAGTGCAGTCGGATATGATCTAGCCATGTTCAGGAGTAGAGAAGGGCCAACCTGTCTTGCCTATGTGGCGGTACCAATCGGCAAGATCTCTTCTGCTGTCAGCTCTGACCTTTAATGAAAAGAACTTTGGATTAGTTGTGTTGCAAAACTTCAGACACTATTTCTGCAAGTCATCAAACAAATATGTAGCTTGAAAAGGATAAAGGAGTTTAATAGTATACAAGTATTTGAGAGTTTTTGACAAATTCATGCGCCTTCTTAAGGGTCGAGCCACATTCATCAACAAGATTGGTAGCAAGGAGAGCTTGAACAGCAAATGCAACATCCCACGGTTGAGAGCCACTGTATACCCTGTAAGTATAGCCAATTTGAAAGCATTTCTCTGTGCAGATCGATCAAAACAAACCTTATACATAAAACACAACAAACTGTATAAAAAGTTTACAATACATTATATGAATCTAGTACCTGCATTTTCATTCCATCTCCAGCCACCCATAAATAATCTTTGATTCTGGAGATGACGCTTGTATGCTTTGAATTTGGGTTCTCTACCCTACTGCAGACCATGTTTTACACCTGTCCTCGGCATACGATATTGTTTCTACGTATAATAAGGTGGATATAGGTGCAACAAGCCCCTATTTTTCACATCACTTAAAGGGATCTCATGGAGTTACCTTGTTAACAGGACCAGTGCAAATGTAGTTACTAGTTTCATCTTCATAGTGGATGTGCTCCATTACAGTCCTTAGAGCAATCTGTCTTATCTTATAGAAAGGCCACCGTGCTAGAAGGGTTCCACAACCTTGCGTAAACAACTCCAAAACATGTCTTGGATCCAACGGTGAGGATAGTACAAATCTTCTTGGGCGAGCATGAGAAATCAGTATTTGACGACTTCTCTGTTTCGTGCATACTTCAGCGATAAGGTTTTCTAAGCTTGCAGGAAATATGCATGTGAACAGTTGTCTCTGTTGTGTCTTACATACGCATAATACAACAGAAACCGAGGCAAATTTGCCGTACCATTACCACACAAGTGAAAAAGAATTACTTTAGCACATAAATATCTAGTTTGGTCCCAATGGATCTGATTGTAAGGTCGCACATAGAGTTCCTTTCGAAGTCATAAAACGAGGTGACTCGATGGAGCCACGAATCACTTCCCTTACAAGTAAAACATAGGCAAATACACCATCAGATATGGATGCCCACTTCAACTCTTGCACCAGGGGGAATGAATATGACATCAGATTTTGATGATGCACATATTTCCTTCGTGGTGTCGAGGTATTTAGCCGTGAGCACCGCGTCCATGACATCCTTTGCACTTGCTCCTGGGACGCTCTCTTGGAAGCCAAGCACACTCTGTCTTACACCATCCACAACATTCTTGAACTTAGCCTCGCCTTCAGCTCTCTTGATTTTAGCCTTCTTGATTGCTGCAACCCTCGGTCCAAAACAAAAACAAAACTTCAGTAAACTCAAATATGATGCAGATCAAAATATACTTTTACATGTAGTGGTGTATCTTGGAAGTAGCATTTAAGCACCAAACAAAGCCTAATTTCTCGTCTGATGCAAATGAAATAATGTTACTATAGTTAGACATTATGCGAATCCTTTTTTGTCTTCCGTAAACATGAGATTTACTCTAATAAGTTGTATCAATTAGAGTAAGTGCACACCCACTACATTCAAAATAGTATATACTCTTTATGCGATGGCACGGACCATATCTAGAAGTACACCGGTTTAAATTTAAACCGTTCACATATGGACTATTAGAGTTGCAAATGACACGATGCCATGTGTCACTAACCAATTAAAAATTCTACCATGTTGAACAATTATCTAGAATCAATGAGCAATCGAAATTTCAAGCTTACCAGCATTTTTTTCGATCATAGCTTGCTCGATACACTCATCCAGTTTAATGTTAATGATTAGGACTCGCTCAATATCATATCCATAGTTAAACATAGCCTGCAAAATTTAGAGAACTCCAGTTCAGTTTATCTCTCATAATAATATCAAGAAGTCTAGAGTGGACAACCTGTTGGAGTTCTTTTACAACAACTTGCGAAATTACATCCTGCTGCTGAAAAACTTCATCCAAGTTTCGCGCAGTAACCATAGCTCCGATCACTGGAATGATTAAAACAATAAAATCGTGGATGCAATTATTGTTGCTCACTCAAAGTGTTAATTGAAGGACTAAAGTATGTTACTTGCGCATGCAAATTGTACAAATTTGTTCCGATACTATATTTATACCGATGTGATGAAATTCATTTGGCACATACCAGTGATCGCTTTAACCTGGATATGACTCCTCGGATTGCTGAGACTATAAAAGGCATCATATGCTCTGTTTGGGAGGGCTCGGTATTCCACATATGCAACAACATTGACAAACTCATCGTCCTGTGAGAAAAATATCACGTGAGGTCATTACTTATTCAAGCATTTACATGTTAATTGGTAACAAGTGACAGGCTGCCATATCACGGAACTGAAACGAGAAAAGGAAATTGATAAATTCATCAACATTCAACTCTTAATTCACAAATTAATTGAAATACATCAATAGATCCGCACTAATACTTCTCGACAAACCCAAGAAAGGTAGTTTAATTGTGAAAATGTAGTTCTCATAACGATTTGAAGACAAAACATTCAAGGAGCAATGTGCTGATTCAAACAGTTTTTGTTTCCCACTAAGATGATCACCGGTGCATTTGTGTACTATATAGCAAAATAGTCTAGAATGAAATCTAAAAGTTGATGGAAGTTTGCACAAAGACAAAAGATTGAACAAACCTTGGTTTTTGTTCTGCATTTCACAAGCAAACTCTGCCATTGGAGTGACAGCTTCCCGGCAAGCTGATATCCGCAAATCCATGGAACAAAATGACACCCAGGTTGAAGAGTTCTGTCAAACCTTCCAAACCTCTTCGTAAAACCTACTGTACGTTCCTCAACTTGGATACAACAACACACGTTACCCATCTTATATGTATAGAAGTGAATCCTGCAAAAAGCATGCAATTGTTAGTTTAACGCAAATCATTTTCTTCAAACTTTCAGTAAAATAAAAGCCACATGGGTATGTCACAGCCACAGGTACTTTTAGTTTCATCCAACCACCAAAAACCTGGTGACATTTTACACATCTAATCTAATTTAATCTAACCTAAAATTCGACCAGCAATCAATGCCTACCTGATAAGTAACATTGCCATTTTTTTTATTCCCATGTAATCAACAACTGAAAAGACAAACATGGTCTGCTCTAGGGGTGTCAATGTGGATTATTGTTATCAGCAGAAAGACTAAACAGAATAAAAGGAAAATAGCAAGATGTAAAACAACAAGATTACTAAAAAACTTCACAAGTAGAGCACAATACCGAATACGAAACGAAAAAACCGATTTGGTTCGGTTTAGCTTTAGAAATCGGATCTTTAGCAAAGTCGGGTGCGAAAGAAAGGCTAAACACCTGGAGGAGTACTCCAGCAACACTCTTGGTCAGCTCCTAGCCTACGGATGTCGTGGCATCAGTTCGGATAAAAAAAAAAACTCAATTCAGCTGCAGCTAAAGAATCGAATCTCTACACCCCACCGCGAGAGATGACAATGCCGACCTTGACTTCAAACATTTACTGCACTACAACCGTAGCAGAAGAACCATATCTGAAAACCAAAACGGTGCAACACCCGACCCCAGCCCCTCGCGGAACCACGAAATTCGGCTTCAATATCGAATCATTTTCGCAGGCTACCTAAATCCGACCCCCCACACAGTGAGCGGAGCGGAGAGAGAGGGAAAGAGAGCACTTGACCTCTGCTTCCTCCTCGTCAAAAGGGCTGGGATCGTGGCAACGATTCTTCGTAGCCGTGGAAAGAGAGGGGAGGATTTGAGCGCGCGAGAGAGATGCCCTGAAGATTGCAATGCTCAAAGATTGCATAGACAGCTTACTTCTTCCATTAGGCTTTCCGGACCCGTGAAGTCCAGGTAAGACCGGGCCCAGAGGCCCAGCTCGGGTCCCTTTTTTTCTTTTCGGAATTTAAAATTATCGATTTAAAAAAAATAATTAATTATAAATAATAATACTAAATTTTTTAGAATGAAAAAAAAATTAGAATATGGCAAGAAATAGAGGCCTTGATTAGGGTTGTCAAGTTTTAGCACTAGACTTTTAGGTTTTTTGGTCGGAAGCACTAGACTTAGCTTAGTGCTATTTAATTAGCATGCCTTTAGTGGGTTACCTTGGATATAACTTAGTTCAAGTAGATTGATCTTTTGGAAAAGAAATCGAACTCAATTCGAATTTAGCTCACGAGGGTAGCTGTCTTGGAGCTTAGGATAAAGCCATGTGTATTCTTTGTCCAACGTGCATTGGGTTTTCTTCACCGCATGCACTTTATTTCGAGTTCTTCAATACTTGGGTGCTTCAATTTAGCACCAATAAATCTATCGTTATTTTCCTTTCCAGAATGGCTAAACTCCTAGGATCATAATCAACGCAAAAGAACATTTGCATGAACACTTAACAACGTTAAATGACATTTAGGAAAAATTAGTTGAGGAACTGGCTAAGCTGTAAGTCTCCACATGCATGAATTGTTAGGAATGCAGATGTTGCGGGGGAGGCATATCCCTATAAAGCTGCCATAGTTGATGTAATTGTACGATGTTACAAGAACATACATCTTTATGCCAAAAGTAATGGTCTCCATTGTCATTAAAGGCCACACTATATCATAAGAATTGGAATTGTTAAAAAAGTCCTAAATCTACTCTACTTTTGCCAATTCAGTCATAAACTTTTTGATTTTACCAATTGAGCCCTAAACCTTTTCATGATTTGCTAATTAAGTTCATTCGGTCAATTTTAGCCGAATATCACTGACGTGAACGCCGGCTGTCTTATGTGACGCGATTAGTGCTAACGTGGATAATTTTTAATAATATTTTAATATTTTCTTTTTTTTCTTATCTTTCTCTTCTTCTTTTTTTCTTTATTATTCCTCCTCTAGCCGGTTGCCGGGCGTTGGCGAACTATGCACGAAAAAGGATACGTTGTCATATAATGATTTCTCATACTTGACCAGGAATATCTGTACGATCCTCACCCTTGGATCCAAGGCATGTTTTGGAGTTGCTTAAGCAAGGTTGTGCAACCGCTTCTAGCATGGTGGCCTTTGTATAAGTCAAGACAGATTGCTCTAAGTACTGTTATGGAGCACATCCACTATGAAGATGAAACTAGTTACTACATCTGCATTGGTCCTGTTAACAAGGTGACTCCCACTATATCAATTTTGGTGACGTCAAGAATGTAGGGTTCATCAACGAAAAACAACGCAGCGGAATATAGAACCCTAGACAGGATCCATGTGTATATTGAAATCGAAAGGGAATTTCGACGCGTACCTTTGCATATTGAAGATAAATCGGCACGGGATTGTGTCGGGATAAGCGCCCCAAGTGTTGCGCCTCTACCGATATCCACACACGCGAACGGAATTCTCCAACGATCCACGTGCTAGCGAAAGATCTTGAAGTTCCTTTACTTGAATGCCGAATAGAGAACGATTCTCTATCGTAGAGTTTCTCCTGGAGACACTCTCTCTAGGGTTTCCGTATTCTATGGAGGCACGGAGGCGTGCGTCATCTGACGTGAGACTCTCTCACTATCAATATCTATATATATAGCCTCATAGGAAACTCTAATGGGCCGGGCTATTTGGGCCCGCCCAAACTATCCACCCCCAATCGTACATGTAACGTTATCTCATAACGCGCACGACCGCGTAGATAATTTAAATAGGAGAATAAATCTACTTCTGAAGTAGATCAAGGCGCACAGAAAATATGAAGTCCGTTCGCGATTGTGTGCGACCCTGTAGGTTCACTACGCATTAGCAGTGTGCACAAAATCCTTTTGGCCCAGAAGTCATAAGCGGTCTCTAGCAAGACATTATGACTACCTAAGTATAGTGAAGATCGGTTTTCCGACACAACCTAATCCACAACTAATATTAGAGTATCAACCTTGATTGATTCTTAGGGCAGACCACTAACAAAGAATTGTGGCTTGTCGCACCATATATTCACCTTATTAAATGTAGAAATTATATTGCATGCCGGGACAGGTGTTAAACATGGTCTGCTGTTATATAGAGAACCCAAATTCGAAAGCATACAAGCATCATCTCTCCAGAATCAAAGATTATTCATGGGTGGCTGAAGATGGAATGAAAATGCAGGTACCGATTGATATATAATGTTTCCTAAACTTCTTAAACAGTTGGTTGTGCTTTTTGTACAAGGATTATTTTGAAGGATCTGGCATAGATAATTACTATCAAATTGGCTGTACTAACAGGGATTCAATGGTTCTCAACTGTGGGATGTTGCATTTTCCGTTCAAGCTCTCCTTGCTACCAATCTTGTCGATGAATGTGGCTCGGCCCTTAAGAAGGCGCATGAATTTGTCAAGAACTCTCAAGTACTTGTCTGGCAGTAAACTCCTTGGTCTTTTTCGAGCTACATAGTTGTTTGATGACTTGCAGCAATAGTGTCTGCAGTTTTGCAAAACAACTAACGCAAAGTTCTTTTCTTGTCATTAAAGGTCAGAGCCGACAGCAGTGGAGATCGTGCCGATTGGTACCGTCACATAGGCAAGGGAGGTTGGCCCTTCTCTATTCCTGAACATGGCTGGATCATATCCGACCGCACTGCATAAGCACCTAAAGCAATCTTTTTCATGGTTCGTGTAATGATTAGAGCAATGCTCATCTTGTAATATTCGACTATAGTACACTTAAATAGCTATTTCAGTTCAGATATTTTGTTCTAGTAATTTAGCATGGTGAGCTCGGCTAAAATTGATTTTTCCAATCAAAGAAATATATAGAGGAAATAAATCATGTTCGCCTTGTTTTTTTTTGTCTGTTTGCAGGCGGCATTATTATTGTCAGAAATGCAACCCAGCATCGTGGGAAATGTGATAGCAGTTGATCAACTATATGATGCTGTTAACGTGATCTTATCCCTTCAGGTATTATAATTTAAAATTAGCTAATTATCCACTATTTTCTTTTCGGAAAATTTTTGAAAGCTGGTCATCTTTCCACTCTTATATGTTAAGTTTGATGAGAAGCCAACAATGATGAATTTTTTGGTCCTTGATCACAAAAGGTTGGCATTGTGAATTCGTATTTTTGGACAGCAGTGTTAGGATAGTGAAAGAACTCGTAAAAGTTATATTTGGATGAGTTTTAATGCAGTATACTGTAATTATTACATCAATGATGTGGCTAAATCAAAAGGGAGGATTTGCAACATATGAGCAAACAAGATCATATCCATGGTTAGAGGTTTGATTTCTTATTCTCTTCCATCTGGTTTGAACCTGGAGAGAATCCGACGTGTTATAAAGTACACATGTCTTGTTTGTCATGCAGACGATCAATCCATCATAAACATTTGGAGATATCATTATCGATTATCTGTAAGATCATGACCCAATACTTCTAACTTTTTTATAAATTTTACTTGGAGAACTTCCTTGCTTGACGAGGAAGAAAAATAAAATACTCGGGGTGAAAAAACATTTTCAAGCTTCACCTGGTAAATGTTTTTCTGGCTGCACCAACACAATATTCTTTCATCAGTGTAACATAGGATCATTCTTATCAGATGTCTTCTTGATGTTTGACTGGCAAATTTCTTCTGTTTAGTTATGTGGAGTGCACTTCTGCAGCAATCCAAAGTCTAAGGCCTTCATTAAGTTATATCCACGCCACCGAATCAAAGAAATTAAGGCCTGCGTTAAAAAAGGCTATCGAATACATTGAAAGCATACAGCTACCGGATGGTTCTTGGTCAGTTTCCTCCTTCGAGATGGTTATTACTTCATTTTAGTCATTATAATCTTAGAAAAGGCCAAATTGGGATAGTAAAATGTCCCACATTGTCATCCATTGATGTTGAATCACCTT